GGTAACATACAGGGGGACAGGTAACATACAGGGGTACAGGTAATATACAGGGGTACAGGTACTCCTAGAATGAGATCCTAATAGGTTGGACTTGATGGACTAATGTCTTTATTCAACCTCAAATACTATGTAACTACGTAACTCTGATTACACTGACGGCCTGTCAGGAACCAGTTCTGAACCCAGAGCCTCTGCTGTAGCTGGCGGTGGATCTTCCTGCTGAGCCACCTTAGAACCTTGGATAGCTCCTTGCCTGATCTCCTGTGTAATCCTCAATTATACCTAATCTCTGCTGAACTCTGAACTCCTTGCTCCTCCCTTGAACTTCCTATTTAAGCCACGCCTCCGCACTTCCTGTTTGCCAGATTATTGTGCTCCTGCCAATATCTTGCTTCCTGCTCCCACTGTGCCACAATCCGCTCATACTGCTACCCGTGTACCGACCTTTGGCTGCTGATTCACCGACTACTCTCATCATCTTCCGCTTCATACCTGATACCTTTGGCTCCTGACCTCGGCTTGTTCGCTGACTACGCTTCTGCCTGCTCCTCCGCCACTACCCTCTGATTGTGTACCGAACCCGGCCTGTTATACTACGAATTGCCAGCTGCTTCAGCTGCTGGACTCTGAGCCTGATCCCAGATCGTGACACAGCCGTTCTCATCCAGGGTGCCTCCTGGCTTCCTCAAGGGTGCCTCCAAATTTTTGCACAGCGCCTTTCCATTGTGCAGGCAGGCTTCTGATGTAAAGGGGGCTCCAAATGTAAGGGGGGAACTCTGATATAAAAGGGGGGACTCTGATGTGAAGAAGAGATAACGAGGTCAACAGCCCACCAAGGACCTCTTTATCCATCCGTCTTTCATTGACATTTAGATAAACGTGGTGTCACAAGCAACTGCAACGTTTCAGAACCATATACCAGTGGCGTCACAAGGGGGATGCGGCCCGCAACCCGATTAACACCATTGGAGGGGAGACATCAAAATGACTGACGGTTATTTTGGTGTCACCCCCCTCTGATACGTCGGGCACTCGGTCAATGACCAAGAGCCCAACACTTGCTCGAGAGAGAGAGAGGAGGGGACCCGGCGGCATACCTCATCCCGCCGGGTGACGTCCCCTCCTCTCTCTGCCAGCGTCCATCACCAAGATGGCCACCAGCAGGCAACAGCGGTACTGCACGTGACGTCACCCGGTACGTGTCTAGAGGCAGAGCCAGCTGTACCTGCCCCCTCCCCCGTCCGTTGACTGGCGGATTGGAGCGGGAGGGGGGAATCCAGCCCCTCCCCTTTCCCGGGAGAGAGCCGTGACAGGATCGAGAGGTGAGTGAACGCCGGTATGTGTTCGCTCACTTCCCGATCTACTGAGCCGACCTGTGACAGTCTCATTGTCACAGGTCGGCTAGAACTATGAGGATGAGTGAAAAGCACCCCCCCTCCCTCATAGTTCTCCTTTAACTACAAAGAGCCACTACAGAGGAAATATAGTAATCCATTAAATGCAGTCATAAAAATATGGAACAGCAAACACATAAAACAATGCGTCCATCGCATCAAACATTACCTTCAGATAAAGACTGCAACATTGACTCCGAATACATTATATTCCCCCCAGAAACCTTCTCATACGTCTTGTCTCCGATTGTCTCCTTCAGGTGTTATTTGTCCCTCGCCACTGGTGGCATTACGTGGAATCGGTTGATGATGTCACTGTTAGCGTCAACTCCTGGATTGAGCTGGTGAGTCATTCCTGGTTGGTTTTATTTATCTTTGGGATTATAACTCCAAGCAAATAAAAATATTAACACGTAGAGATAAAGATAAGGCACAGTACTATATGACCGGCCCCCAACACACAATGCAACCGTGCATTAATTAATGCCCAAATAAAGCTTCCTTCAGTCTTCTTTCTGATCTTCGTCCTTCCCTTTAGTCTTCTATCTGACCTTCGTCCTCCCCTTCAGTCTTCTATCTGACCTCCGTCCTCCCCTTCAGTCTTCTATCTGACCTCCGTCCTTCCCTTCATTCTTCTATCTGACCTCCGTCCTCCCCTTCAGTCTTCTATCTGACCTCCGTCCTCCCCTTCAGTCTTCTATCTGACCTCCGTCCTCCCCTAGGGTTTTTTTTTTTACTATCTATGGCGATATGTCTTTCGCACTCTATTTTAGCCGTCCGTATTTCTAGTTTGCATCTTTTATTGCTTTCTTTATAGTCGTGGAACGCCAATGCCGTCCCCTCTATCTTATATTTTATGAAAGCCATTCGCTTTTCCTTTATGTGATGCTTTACAGTTTTATTCAGCCATACAGGTTTTGTTTTTGATCTTTTATTCAGTTGTACCGGCTCCTCTCCTGGATTGAAATCGCTTCCTCTGATATCACTGCACACTGTGAGCTTCACACAAGAGCTGCAGCAAGTCAGATGGAGCCCACCTCATTTCCAGGCTGGAGGACACCCAACATCATCTAGCCATTTCCCAGCGTGTTGGCCGGGGGGACAGGAGACGCCAAATATTAGCAGATTAAACTTCGGCTTCAAATGTATTTTTTCATGCAAGTAGCACAAGTACATATAAGACTCTAAGATAAGAATCCGTCTTCATGTTACGGTCCTGTAATCTCATACACAGCGGCCTTCAGGATGGGAAAGGGAGGGGAAGCACTAAGATGGCAAGACCTGGTCATCCCCCTCTCTCCACTTAATACCCGCAAGGCATCAGGGGGGTGTCCTGGCCGGGCCCCCCTGTGCCCGGGCCCCACAGCGGCCGCCTGGGTCGCTATGGCTATTGTTACGCCACTGTATATAACCTGGTAGTAGGGTTCAGACATGAGTGAAAGCTGGAATACTGCAACAGAGGTTTATTGGTATAGAGCAGTGGCCCCCAAAATGTGGCCCTAAGGCCTAGTTCACACCGAAAGCGGGTGCGTTCCAGAGCGGCAGCTGCTGAAGCGCACAGCGATCTCTAAGAAACTTCTCCCCGCGTTTTGGGGCGGGAGGGGGGCGTGGCAGTGCATCGAATTAAATGGCACCGCTTCCACACACCCCCTGCCCGCAGTGCGATCGAACGCGTGGCAAAACTTTGCGTTCCACTGCAAAACCAAAAAATAAAGCCCCCTCCCGCCCCAAAACGCGGTGTGCGCGATCGCGGTGTGCGTTCTAGCAGCTAGCGCTCTGGAACGCACCCGCTTTCGGTGGGAACAAGCCCTTAGCATACACGCCGCTGGCCTATAGGGCGCCGGTCTTCCTACTGTTACCAACAGTAGGTTGACATAACCACAGCTTCTATGGCATAGGAGGGTGGCATAGGAGGCTGGGGGGGGGTGCTGCAAGGCGGGGTGACCAGTCCTGACGTGGCCCCCTACGGAGATACCGCTGTAATCAATACGTGTGTTGGTTTTATGATGGAGGTGACTGGAGCTTGAGGCTTCTATAGCGTCATAAACGGATTGATATTTTCATGTAAACGTGTCGCGGTGTAAATTCTCTCCGGCGCGTTTCAGTAATGAGCAGAACGACGATCGATATAGAAAACAATTTCAAACAGTAAGTCACCACTGTTACCTATAAAACCGTCACATTAGGATTTCATTACCGCCGGCGATATAGAGATTAATAAACAGAGTATTTCTGGGATGCAGATGCAATCGGATTAAAGTGAACCTGTCATCAGACATGTTATTTCAATTTAGGTGCAGCGTGCTAAAATAACGTGTCAGTGTAACACTTCCAGGTATTTATTACCTCTCACAGAGATCACAGAGCTCCCCCTGACAATGCCTTCATCTGCTTTTCTCTCATGAAGGACGGTGCCATCTTTGTTCAGGCATATTCCAGGGTCCCCATCTACTTCCTGGCCCGAGATGCTGACTCAGTGATAACCCAATCTCGTATATTCTGGTGTCTGTGCAGTTCCTGGCTGTGTTCACAAAAGTCTGACGCAGAAGGAAAAAATAAATAACAAAAGTTACTTTTCTAGATCTTGGCATTCACCTTGGAATAGTTTATAGTTGTACACTATATGGCTAAAAGTTTATGGACCCCTGACCATGACACATGAGCTTGTTGGATATCCGTTTCTAAAAGCAGGTCCATTATTATGGAGTTGCCCCTACCACCCATGCCATTTATTATGGAGTTGCCCCTACCACCCATGGCTATTAATATGGAGTAGCCCTTACCACCCATGGCTATTAATATGGAGTTGCCCCTACCACCCATGGTTATTAATATGAAGTTGCCCTTACCACCCATGGCTATTAATATGGAGTTGCCCTTGGCACCCAGGGCATTTTTTATGGAGTTACCCCTGCCACCCATGGTTATTAATATGGAGTTGCCCCTACCACCCATGGCTATTAATATGGAGTTGCCCCTACCACCCATGGCTATTAATATGGAGTTGCCCCTACCACCCATGGCTATCAATATAGAGTTGCCCCCTTATGGCCATTAATATGGAGTTGCCCCTACCACCCATGGCTATTAATATGGAGTTGCCCCTACCACCCATGGCTATTAATATGGAGTTGCCCCTACCACCCATGGCTATTAATATGGAGTTGCCCCTACCACCCATGGCTATCAATATAGAGTTGCCCCCCCATGGCTATTAATATGGAGTTGCCCCTACCACCCATGGCTATTAATATGGAGTTGCCCCTACCACCCATGGCTATTAATGTGGAGTTGCCACTACCACCCATGGCTATTAATATGGAGTTCCCTCCTCATGGCCATTAATATGGAGTTGCCCCCTTATGGCCATTAATATGGAGTTGCCCCTACCACCCACGGCTATTAATATGGAGTTGCCCTTAGCACCCAGGGCATGTATTATGGAGTTACCCCTGCCACCCATGGTTATTAATATGGAGTTGCCCCTACCACCCATGGCTATTAATATGGAGTTGCCCTTACCACCCATGGCTATTAATATGGAGTTGCCCTTGGCACCCAGGGCATTTTTTATGGAGTTACCCCTGCCACCCATGGTTATTAATATGGAGTTGCCCCTACCACCCACGGCTATTAATATGGAGTTCCCTCCTCATGGCCATTAATATGGAGTTGCCCCTACCACCCATGGCTATTAATATGGAGTTGCCCATACCACCCATGGCTATTAATATGGAGTAGCCCCTACCACCCATGGCTATTATTATGGAGTTCCCTCCTCATGGCCATTAATATGGAGTTGCCCCTCCCCTCATGGCCATAAATGTGAAGTTGCCCCCTTTTGTTAATAAAACTGTTACATCAGACGGTCCATCTGCAACACTATAAACAAGGTCAGGAGGGTCGTTCATAAACGTAAGAACCTGTTTTTGAACTTTTACTAATAGTCATGAAAATGTTAGCTTTGCAGAGCTGTAAAGAAAGTAAAAAGCCTCATAAATAATGCAAAGTGTCGGAAAAATACTCTTTAGAAAACATTTATGCAGCAAACAGAAATTCCCCGAAGTTCAAGCGTAGCCGGTTTCCTCAATGCTCTTTCATGTTTGTATCTGGCTGGGTCTACCTGCAGCGAGTCGGGAAGGTATCCCGCTTCACTTTCAGAAATTTAGATTACAAAGTTGGTTTGAGCTTTACGACCGCACCCAAGGAGCTTACAATCTAATGTCCACCTATACACATAATTCACCTGGTGATGGTATCCATAGAACCTATCAGACCCTGACCCCCCCCCCCCCCACCCGCCTAACACACAACTCCCCCCACA